GAAAAACATTTCGCATCAAGGTGTGAAATTTCACGAGTTTTGTTTTGGATTCGCTTTTGCGTGTGTATTAAACAAAGTTTGTAAATTCGAGTCTTTTTAATTTCTAACAAAATCAGTGAGTCAGTGCTTAGCATTTGAATTTTAAATTTAGATCTTGATTTGTTCACTACACACAATTTCAAATCCAATAACCATAATTGTTATCACAATAATCAATAGTACTACATTACAAAGCGAATAACTTTACCTTCTTTGATGGTAAATTAAGGAAGCCACAATTATAATATTGCGAGTTGAATGGAGTATTAGTGTTTTAAATCCTTGAGATCACTAATCGTTAGTTTTGTATGTACTAAAGACATCTAATCGTTGTGGCCGTACCGTTGATGTAAGGTTTAAGCAAGCATGTGATATTTCAATTTGAAATGTATGTATGTTGGTTCGAACCTAGGCAAAGATGCATTTTATTAAAAAAAATATTTCCGTGCGCGCAAAATGATAGCTGTTGGTGCCATGTTTTTGCTTCAATGCCAAATTTAATAAAATATTAGTATTTATTTTTCGTAATATATTTAAATATATAGGTGCACGAACTGAAAGGGCGATCCGGACTGCCAGTAGCTGGATAAGTGGCAAATTGTTCGAATCCCCTTTGTTTTATGTCTACGAAATCCTGATTGCTTATATGTGAACATCACAATCCCTTTTCAACAAATTGAATTTCATTGGAGAAGTGGTAAGTTGTTCGGTAATGAATGTGTCGATGCGAATTTGAACACTGTAATAAGCAGTGTATTTTTTCAATTATATGTCAGTAATGCCTTACCAGGTGTGTTTTTAAAAATAAGAAGTATATTTTGAGTTCGGAATAATTTGTTTGCAGAGTTGTTCCGTTGTTCACATAAGCGATTTTGAGAATTTTTTATTTGCAAAATTTTAGAATATTAAAAGACATTTCAATAACTTCAGTAAAGACATATTTAATGTATAAAATTTGGAACGATACATCTCTGATAGCAAAGTAGATGATGGTTTTTATTCACGCCTATTTATAGGGTTGGGGGCGGGAGACGACGCCTTCCTTTGGTCGGGAGAGATTGTCCTCATTCAAAGATTTTTCCTTGGTCGATTAAGACGCTTTGTATTCTAGCTCCGTGGTCAACTAATTTAGTTAGCCACGTAAAGTAACGTGTTACCTCGAATATTTGACTTACAGTGTCGAATTATTTTCCTCAATAGTGTTAATATTTATTTAACTTTAAATGCTATATATCTGGATATATCTTGTTTTATTTAGGGAGGGGAAGGAGAGTTTTCGTATCGAATGACTTTGAAGAAAAGATTTTTATTTTGCTTCGGTAGAATTCTGAATCTAAAAGAAACTAAAAGAAATAATTTAATTCCCAAGAAGAGGATTTGATGACTCGGAGAGTCAATGTTTGTTTTTTTGTGGCAGAGTCGTTTGAGGCGGAAATCCGGTCCCAATTCTCATTCTTTACTTTAAAGCCAAATTGTAAAATAATTTAAAAGATATTCATCTTGGAATCAGATTTTATTAGCCTAGGTTAGGTTGTGTTTTTTTTTTTTTTTTAGCCTCGGTTAGGTTGTGTTTTTTTTTTATTTCTCCCTTTCAGTCCCCAAAAGGTGAAAAAGAATTGTGAAGAAAAGAAGATAAATATATCTGAAGAAATTGACTGTTAAGAAAAGATCCTAAAACAAGTTTTTCATTGTAAAAGAAATGGTTGAAAAAAAGAAAAGAAAAGATTTTTAAGTTGTCAGTTTAAAGAATGATACGTTCTATAGACTGACAAAATTATTAGTGTAAGTAAATCCCTTCTTTATCATTATGTTTTGTTACTATTTGGCATATGGAACAACATGCAGAAAATTTTTGTTTTATTGAAATAAATGTTTTATCTGTGAACACTATATTTTGGTTTTATCTACTAAATTTAAGATAGTCTGCTTCTTTGAGTTGTTTTACTTTTACTTTCCTATGAAGAAGCCGAGAACAAAATCGGCGGTATAGTTCTGGCGCCTTAATATATTTATTTATAATTTAAATGTATTAATTTAGGACTAATTAATTTTCTTCACAATCAATCGATTTGACATAGGTCAGTGTTAAGATCGCCGACGGCGTTTTTAGGTTTCCTGTGCTCAAGTTCAGCAAAATTCCAATAACGAATGCTTGTCTTCGTGCAAGAAATGTGCTAGCATTGTCCGTTGGAAATTAGTATTATGTTTTATACAATTCATGGATAATAAATTCAGAATGTTTTTAGATTAAAAGTAAACGTTAAGTCATCCCCTGACAACACTCGAGCTTGTAATCTGTACCATACACAGGAATTCTTGTGCTATTCGATCCTGAACCGCTTTGTTGTTCACAGGCAAACTCTACTGACCTTACCGTTGACGCCAGGCTAACCTCTATATACCGTCTGCGCTACGAAGCCCTCGCTAACATTCCTAGCATTTTTTCCGTAACAATTTTAAGAATTCTGGAATTAAGTAAAAAGTCAGTCAGTTGTTGAACGACACAATACAAGTGGCGACAATCAATTCTGGACGAATAAGTACAAGTTCTCCTCACGCCTTTACTACTTAGCACCTAGCTGTTTGAAATTTTACGCAAAGATTCTATTAAATAATCTATACAGGTTTATTCCATGATAAACTCGATTAATTGCAATAATGTATTGAAAGAACTTAACAGCGAATTTGAACCTATTACTATAAAATTGTAAACCTTCTGCTCATATACCAACTTTACTAAAGTAAAAATGTTTATTGGATTTGAACCCGTATAGAAGGGATAGATAGTCCGACACCTTACCAACGAAACACCAATGGACATTTAAGAATTAACTTTCATTTTATGCACTAGAAACCTATTGTTTGTTCTCGGAAAACATTTTACAAACCTGCTGATTATTGTAAAAATTAAAACTAACAGTAAATTAGAGACTGTAACAAAACATTTGTAATCCAATATCTTACCACCTAACTACCAAGATTATGTGTTAAGAAAAGAAACACTGAGTTGCGAAATAATTTTGAAGTCTGTTGGGGTCACTTAATGTAAAAAGAAAAACTCAAAGTTCAATTAAAAGGCAATTAGGTAATGTCTAGTGTAGCCAGGTGGTAAAGTCTTCTTAGAAACATTACATCTAACATTAAGCTTTGCTTATGCTGCTGCGTGCTTTACAAAAGTGACAAAGACGATACATCAAATTTAGATAAATCTTAGTAGAATGATTGCAATTAATTTTTTCTGTTTCTACGCATCAAACTACATATGAATCAGCAATAAATCGGGTATGTAAAAAGTAAATCGTAATACGCCATTTTGAGCCTTGGATTATCTTTATTGTTTAAAACCGCGAAATTTGATCCTTCGATTATTTTTATTAATCTTACATGAAAGTGATTGCATTTGCTGTATTCTGTTTCTATTCATCAAATTTTATAAGAATCAGCAATAAAATGGGTATGTGAAAAATAAATAGCAATCCGCCATTTTGAGATTTGGATTACCGTTAGTGCTTAAAAGCGCGGACTTAGTTGCTTCAATTATTGTTATTAATTGTTGTGGTGACCTCCCTCTAAGAGTCTATGTTAGACTCTTCCGCCTACTATAAGTTTGGTAGGAGAGGGGGATAGTGATTGAGCGCTAGTTCATTCGATATATTCTCACTAGTCTTGTAATACTCTTCTGGTTTACTTACTTTTTAATATACGATATATCTGCAAACCTGGTTTTTGTTATTACTTAACCATTCACTTGGTCACAATATTAATCTTACAAGAAATTGATTGCAATTGAGGTTTTCTGTTTTTATGAATCAAAGTACATAAAATGTGTATGTAAGAAATAAATCGTAAAGTGCCATTTTGAGCCTTGGAATATCTTAAAACCCGAGAACTTTGATCCTTCGAATATTGTTGTTAATCTTACATGAAAGAGTAATTGATGTTTTCTGTTCTTGTGCATCAATCTACATAAGAGGCAGCGATAAAATGTGTATGTAAGAAATAAATCGTAATCCGCCATTTTGTGTCTTGGATTACTGTCAGTGCTTAAAAGCGCAACATTTTATGATTCGATTATTGTTATTAAACTTACATGAAATTGATGTTTTCTGTTTCTATGTAGCATACTGTATAAGAATCAGCAATAAAATGGCTATTTAAATCGTAAAATGCCATATTGAGTCTTCGATTACATTTATTGCTTAAAACTGCAACCATTGATGCTTCGATTATTCTTATAAAAATGACATGAAATTGATTGTAATTGTTGTTTTCTGTTTCTACGCACAAAACTATATAAGAATCAGCAATATAATGGACGTGTAAAAAATAAATCTTAATACGCCATTTTGAGCCTTGGATTATCTTTATTGTTTAAAACCGCGAAATTTGATCCTTCGATTATTTTTATTAATCTTACATGAAAGTGATTGCATTTGCTGTATTCTGTTTCTATTCATCAAATTTTATAAGAATCAGCAATAAAATGGGTATGTGAAAAATAAATAGCAATCCGCCATTTTGAGATTTGGATTACCGTTAGTGCTTAAAACCGCGAGCTTTCATATTTCGATTATTGTTATCTTGAAATTTTACAAAACACGATTACGATCGTAACCCCTCCGATCTGATAAATTTCATCAAAAACATTTTTTTAATGAAACGCTTCCGGTTGTTTTAATTTATTCAAGAAACGTTAGTAGAAGTTAAATTAAACTACACAATTCCATAAAATCAATTAAAAATTTGGAAGTTTTGCAAAACATGATTACGATTGGAACCCCACTTCAAACCTTAACGTCCGACCGGCCAAATTTCATCAAAACATTTTTAATGAAATGTTGCTAATTGTTGTAATTTATTCAGTTAGAAGTTAAATTAAAGTACTGCTGCCTGTGGCGACTCTCGCAAACTCTAGCAGATGGTGAGGCGGGCGAATCGCGGAACTACGGGGGGTGAGTGAGATGCTTCGCTCCCGTGATGGCGCTATTATCGCAGGTCTGGGCGAGCGGCTAAATTGGTGGAAAGAGCATTTTAACGAGCTACTCAATCATCTGACTCCACCGACGGAAGGGGTCGTTAAACCGGCCGATGAATACGACTGCAACACTGCACCCCACCCCCAACGGTAGATAGTGCGAGATATTCTGCGCCATCTGCGTAACAACAAGGCTACTGGTGGGGATAGTATACCTGCAGAAGTAAATAAAGCCGTGCCAGATGTATTCGCCTCGTGGGTGCATCGTGTCTTCAATGCGGTCTGGCTCTCTGAGGCCTACCCTGCCGATTGGAGCGAGACCATTCTACTACCTTTTTTCAAAAAGGGTGATAGGAGACTCTGCTCGAACTACAGAGGAATCAGCCTCATCGACGTCGTGGCCAAAGTATTTGCAGTGCTTCACCTGCGAAGATTTCAAGGCATCCGTGATCTGCGAACTCGCCCGTCTCAGGGTGGATTCCGCCCGGGCAGAGGCTGTGTTGATCAGATCTTCACCCTGCGGCGCACCCTCCAACAACGCTGGGCATACCAGCAACCAACAGTCCTCTGCTTCTTCGACTTTGCGGCTGCTTTCGATTCCGCTGATAGAGGCTCACTCTGGCGTATCATGGAGGCCAATGGCATGCCCGCTAAACTCTTTGGTCTCATCCAGGGCTACAACCGGTCGACGCGAGACCGTGTTCGTCCTTATGGTGAGGAGTCGGAGACGTTTGAGGTGAGGACTGGTGTGCGGAAAGGGTGTGCCCTATCCCCTACCCTATTCAACTATACAAACGACTACATCCTCGGCAAGGCCCTTCGGGAATACGCTGGAGTTGCGGTTGGTCGGAATGTCAGGTTGATCTGACCTACGCGGACGACATCGTCTTGGTCGGATCGAACTATGACGATGTGCAAGCTGCGCTCAACCGTGTGCAAACTGCAGCACGGGATGTGGGTATGACCATCAAAGCCTCGAAGACCAAAGTTATGCCGTCCCTGGTTGATCAAGTCAACTGGCAACACTGATGCTGGACGGGGTCAATCTGGAGGACATGCAGTCTTTCGTTCATCTCGGTTCAACCATTATACCATCCGGGCAGGCTGCTGCTGAGGTTGAACGCCGTATAGGAGCTGCAAGTTCCGCATTCGTGCGTCTCACGCGATCACTATGGGGGCGACGGGAGATTTCTACGGCTATGAAGAGGCGCATCTATCAAGCTATTGTTCAGACTATCCTTCTCTATGGCTGCGAAACGTGGACACTTAGAGCGGTTGAACTACGAAGGCTTGAAGTGTTCGACAACGATTGACTTCGCTGCATTCTACGATGCCGCCGAATCGATCGTGTGCCCACAACCACTTTACGTCGTCGCCTGAGTCTCCGTCCTCTTCCACCCGTCCTGCTCCAGCGTCGTCTCCGATGGTTCGAGCACGCAGCTAGACGCCCGGAGGGAGAGTTCATCCGCGATGTACTTCTCCCTCCTTCTCTTCCTGGCTGGCGAAAAAGTGTCGGTGGGCAGCTGAGGGCGTGGGCTAGCACAATCAAGGATGACCTAGCAGTACTATCGGGTCCACAAGTAGTTGCTCTTCGACGATGGAATCGCAATTGGCTCGCAATTTCGTGTGACCTGGCTCAGGATCGTCGAGCGTGGGCAGCGATGGTCCGTGATGCTGTACTTACTCGGTAGGAAGCTGGTTCAAGCCGACCAGGGTGAAAACCAATACAAGTCAAGTCAAAAAATTAAAGTACAAATTTCCATAAATCATTTAAAAATTTAGAAATTTTGCAAAACATTATTACGATCGTAACCCCAACCCAACCTCCGACCTGATATACACAAGTATCAGTTAATAGGTTAATGTCATTTATAGAATGACCTACAGAAGCTAAAGAAACTTAGAAAATATCAAATATTTATACATTGAAGAAACAAACGGTGTACTACTTTTGTCGTAGTGGAGAAAAAAAACTGTCCTACTCGAAAGAAAACCTCATCTGGTAGAAGCGTTTTTCCTGGAAGAAGCATAATGAATATATTTATTACTGAATAACTCCACATTCTAAAGGGCGGAAAAATTGTGTAATGATAGCAACAAATACATCGCTAAATAACCTATAACCCTTAGTACTAGATTATGTAGGATTATGATTCCAAAATCATAAATAATTAAAAACAATAAAAAAAAATAAAAATTATAACTCTTATCTATATTTTAAAGTTATAAAATATAGATAAAAGTGTTAATAAAAAATAATGAAGGAAAAAGTGTGATCATAAAAAAAATAATTAAATGATTATGAAAATTCCCATCATGCACTGGAACATGCGTTTTGCCGCCACTTGAATCAGAAATCAAATTTTCTTTATTTTCACCTTCGATAACCAAACGAAGCAGATGCCATGGACAGACCTCCGACATATCATTTTCGGTACGAAAATGTGACAGGGGTCAAGATTAACCGCTACAAGTCTTCTGGCTTGCAGTTAGGTGGATCGATCTTCCGGGGCCCTTTGGTTGGACAGACGGTCCTGTCCGCATTCATGGAGTGTGGTTTGGACCCGACTTCCAGCTGGAGAAAAAAATGGTCAGAATTACAGGCAAAGGTCGACGCAGCCGGTCAGACTTTGCGTCGAAGGAGGTTGTCCGTCAAGGACAGGGCGGAGGCCTGTGCTACTTACGTCTTTTCTCTTGTCCTTTACCGCTTGTCTGTACTTCCTCTCTGTAAGGGTCATAAGAAGGCGCTTGAGTGCTCGCGATCCTCCATTTTATGGAGGGGGCCACAATCATCATGTCGACAGAGAAGTCTGTGCACAACATCCGTGTCATGAAGGGTGGCTGGGAATGCCGCACTTGGCGAGTCACAAACTCGTCTCGAGGTTGGCTGTCCTACGCCGCACATTGACAGGGGATTCAATTATGGCGGATATTGTAAGGGACGCCTTCCTTTTCCTTACTATCAGCTCTCCCACTTCGTGGGTTGAGCGCCGTCGTAAACCCCGGAATCAATCAGATTTCCTTCGCGAGTGTCAAGATGCCTTGACGATCATTTCTCGGTCCAGTGACTTTTCTCGGCCTAGAAAACTCTTTTATCGGGAACTAGTGGAGTGGGCCGCAAAGGTTTTACTACGTGAGCAGTTCGGCTTGTCGGGGGAGAAGTTTCGCTCCTTCTGGTCTTGGGAGCCAGCGGCGGATTACCTCAGCAACCCCGAGTTTTCGCTTATCTGGCGACTGGCTCGGAATAAGCTATCTCTCAATAACAAAGCCTTCATATAGGGCTAGACGGCTCGTATCGCTCCCCAAAAGCTTGTGATCATTGATCGCGCATACGCGTGTGACAATGTGTCGCCCCCGTATTCTGGGGTGAAATGAATAGTGTTTCTATCGCTGCTGGCCACGGCCCGAATGATGATTTGGACGACTCGACAGCAGGAAGTCTTGCGAGGCATCCGTTTTTCTCATCAGGATCCGATACTTTGAGCATCAGCTCAAGATGAAGATTAGAACTGATACAAAACGCTTGGTTTCGAGAGACTTTAGCGGAAGGTGGCTGACGAGCTTGGTCCGTGTGTATGAGGCTAGCCTTGAGTTTCTCTTTTAGGTCTACTTATTTCACATCGGGGTGGTTTCTTGTGGATCTCTCCACTGATTAGGCTAGACAAGCTTTGTGTACCTAGTTAATGTGAGTAAGTGTTGTTTCCAGCCTGTTCCCGGCTACATCTTTGGTTATGATTCAAGTTGAGATTTCCAACCTCCCCAGTTTGTTTTGGGTCTCCCTTTCATCTCGACTCGGTCATCTTTAATTATTCCCCATGTCCGTATATATTTTCTCCTTTCCCTCTCCCTTAGCGTGAGAGCTTCTTGATTCTGTCGTAGGGCAGAATACAACAGCCTCTCATTTTTGAGCATTGGACGGATCAGAATAACATTAGTTATATTTATTTTGCTTTGTTTTGATATTTAGTTTGTTTTAGGGGTTTATCCCCTCCTCTTTCATTGTAAATCATCCATAAAATTTTATGTATAAATTTTTATTATCCAATTTTTATATCATTGGGTGCGTTGTATAGGTCCTCTTCAGAGGATGCGGTATTATGGTAAATGGAGGATTGATTGGTGACGGATGGGTTTGTATGGTGAATGTGCAAATTGTAATGAGTGAATGGGTCGTGAATCGGATTAGCTAAAGTATAAGATAGTCAGTGAAGACCTGTCTCAACTCCTTCCCCCTTTTCAGGCTTGTGCCATAACTGTATATGTTTATACAATAAACATTGAGAATTTTACCAGCAACAAGCATGCCGCTTGAGAGCATGCAACTTTCAACTCACTCACTATGACCGATATCAACTTCCAGCAGTGAGAAATTTGACCAGCCAATTTTCATATCCGTAATCCACTTTCAGTACACACTCACTCAATTACATCTTAACCGATGTCACTCTTCAACAATGAGCAAATTTGAGCGGCAAGATATTTTCAAATTATTTACACCGATTCCAACTCAGAAGTGTTAAATTAAAAATTACATCTTTAATATAAGATACTACTTCTTGATCGTCAAGCTATAATTACAATTCAACATTCATTCATCAGGTTTTTTCTAAATTCATTTTCCACCGAATTTCCCTGAATTTAAAATACTTTCTTATTGAAGAACATTTCTTTATTTGGAATTAATTATCGTTTCATGAACTGAAACTATTTCCTCGATTTCAGTAAAACATTTTACCTTACAAACTTTGACCAGTACAATTTTACAGTCAAAGGTAATTGTAATTTTCAATTATAGAAATTGTTAAAAACTGCTTAATTCATTTCAACTTCTATATTAATTACAACTTTTATATTAATTACAACTTCTATATTAATTTCACACATTTTGAACATTTATCATAGGGACACATTTCACTTGCTAAAAGAAAATTTTCAAATGACATAAAAAAACAAATTTAAACTCTTCAACCAAATTCACTGAATTACACATCATTCAACCTTTTGTATATTAATCGTTATATAAATATTTTTATTGTTTGTTGAAAGAGATTTGTCCTTGTATATATATTATGTTTTGTCGACATTATGCCAAAAAAAAAAATTAAATTGTTTGTGGAGATTTTTTATTTTCATCGAAACTTTAGCCTTCTGATATATATTTTGAGTTTCACCAAATAATTTAAATAACCATCAACTCCGCAACAAGATCATATTTAGAAGTTCTCTCAAGCACTTAAGAGGGACCCTCTATAAAGCGGTTCTAGAGGCTTGCGAATTCTATCTATTCTGATCCATACTTTTTCTTACATTCTTAATTTTTCTCGGATTTACGTTTTATGATGATAATAATTACGAGCATTGTTTAAATTTAGCTGTCATATGGTCGTTTGTAATTTTTTGTCAAATTATGACTAGTATCTGTATCATTCGTACTGTCGATGAGTAATTGTCGTATTAGTATTTGTGTTACAGTAATGACGCAAAAGTTTGTGGTTTTTGCAGAGTTAGGCATCCTATGAAAAAATAAATAAATAAACCACTTCTGTCACATTCGTTATATTTTTGTTTTTTCTTGTCTTGTGGTCAGAATTCCATAATGACTTGTCTGTATATCTTTTGCGCGTTAACACCATTCTTACATTACGAACTTTTTATTCTTTTACTCATGGTTTGCCTACTAATGTCTTGCATATATATTGTTTTGCTTATTAGAAACATTGTCATATCCGTTTGTTG